ACGTTTTTGGAATTAGGGCGACCTACTTGCCCACTCAATCACGTTTTTCAGAAGACTATCGTGATGCATCATTAAAGGTGTGCGAGTGGACTCCATAGCGTTGGGGCTTTTTTCCGAACCCACACCTTACTTTACCTCACAATTTCAGCCCTCTCTTGGACCTACTGTGCTCCTTGACCCTAAACCTTCGAATCTCGGACCCTGGCCTGTCAAAGGTGCTATAGAGTGCCTCCAGGCCGTTATGGCATGTACCGCCTGTCCAATGGCTTAGGGTTTAGGGCTTAGGGTTTAATTAGGGCTTAGGGTTTAGCGCTTAGGGATTAGGGTGGGCACCCCAGTTCAGGTTGCACAGGGCTAAATAGGAAACAGGTCCCTCTGAAGGGATAGGGGCTGCTTGCAAGAAAGGTTCTACATGTAGGGTTAAGGCGTTCATCTGCGGCTTCTTTTTGAATTTCTCAGCAAAGCTACAAGTACAAAATCCATTTAAAAGACCCCTTGGCTAACCCGCTGTCACCCCCCCAAATTCTGTACAGTACCCCCCAAATTCCGTACAGTATCCCGGAGTCCTCATTATGGGATTATATTGTGTATTGGGGATATATGGGGAATAATGAAAAAGAATATGGAAACTACTATAATAATGGAAACCCTAGGTACAGGTTCGTGGATAGTGACAACTCCACTGCAGTTGTAGCAGCAGGTTCCTCCCTACCAATTGCCAACCCTCGCGTTTTTCGTGAATCTACAATGACAGGAAGTGCGGCTTGTACATTGCAGGGCTCTACCGCCTATGGAAGAAGTCTCACTTATGTTATGCCTCAGTAGCCTTGTTTTGACCCATGCATGATGGCATAATGGTACTTGCAAGGTTCCCAACGCTGAAGCTCTAAACGCCTGCCTTCTGGATGCTTGCATGAATGAGCCGACTCGACTTTCTTGCAAGTTTACGCCTCAAAGCACCCGTCCGCCAAACCTCCCTAAACCCTAAACCCTAAACCCTCAACCCACAAACCCTAAACCCAAAGCCCTAGACCCATAAACCCTAAACCCAAAGCCCTAAACCCTAAGCCCTAAACCCAGCAAGTTGTCCAACCCCAAGCACATATCAAAATGCCTCAACTGTGGCCAAGCGAAGGCTGTAGAATTGCTCGGACAGCTCGCACCTGCTTTTGCTTTTCCAGTTGCTGACCTTCCTGGGCCAAAAAATGTGGTTGTTCTCAAAATTATGGGCCCCTTTGAATTATAAAGCATATGACAGCGCCTAATACTTAGGCGTACAAAAAGGGACCTTAATTTTGGTAACTGCCCATGTGTTTCTCCTAGAATAGGGCTGACGGAACGCAAGCATCGTAGAGTGTACGTACCTATCCTACCTGCTAAGTACAGTCCCCACAATAGCCCCCGTACAACCCTCACAAGTACCGAACCTTCCACCGTCTTTCTCAATCCCTGAACCCTCAACTCTACTAGGACCAATCCCAAAACGCCAAACAGCAACTACCCGGCTACGGAGCTTTTGTTTCAATCACCTCCTTCTACTACTACCCCCCACCCCAAGTCCCTAATATCAAATATTCCCAATTTCTTGTACTATACTAATGGGGAGTTTGACTATGAGCAAGGGCTGGTGACATTTAGTATCAGGGCTGCTGGATAAAGATCCTAAGCCCTAATCCCTAAACCCTAAACCCCATGGTTTCGGATTAGCACCTGGAGCTACCAGCAGGCCAAGAGCTCGAGAGTGGCTAGGATAGGTTTGGGGGCCGACAGAAAAAAATTTAAAGCCTTCCACGCAATCTCTAGGTTTAGGGTTTAAGGGTAATGAACACGAAAAATGAATCCTCCAAACCTACTCCAGATGGGAGTTTGTCAACACTACTTGATTGATTCGGTCGTTCAAACCTTCGTATAATCCCTAGGCCCTATATATATATATGTATGTATATCCCTTGCATCCTGCTGACCTCCCACGGCGCTAAGATCACAAGACCAGCCTACTTTCAACTGTAGTGTGAAAAATAACATGGTCCACGGCGGCTTCGCTTTGGGGATAACTTCTGTGGACTAAACCCCTTGATGCAAACGTGAACTCTGAACCCTACACAGAACGATGAGGGGTGTGCACCAGATTTGAGCTGATCGTAAATACAGTATTCGCGGCGCTAAACACACAGGCGATGTAAGAGTGCAGAACGCGGCAAATTACAATGATCAACGAAAAATAGCAGGGCAAGAGTGTGCAAGTGCTCACTCAACATGACTCAAAGATGCGGCACTCGGGCTCTTGCAAGAATAGCTGTAGGATCCGTTGTGGCCAGCATGGCTGGGTACTGGGCCGCTGCAGAGTGACGATGCCTACATACAGTACCACTAAATATTCCCTGTGTCCATTGAATTTTCAATTTCGTGTCCATATGACTCTCCGCAGTTGGGGTAAAGAGTGTCCTAACATATTTCGGGAAACCTGTAAATCCCTGGAGGCCATGCTAAATCCCTCTCCATGTTCTTTTCCACTTGAGTCGGTCTGGGGTTTAGGGCTTAGGGTAGATGCTAAATCCCTAGCCTATGTAATCCCAAAACTCTTTAAAGGTACCTGATTGCTTGGAAACCTGAAACCTGAGCCCTAAACCCCGAATCCACTGATAATTAATAAATCCTTTTTGCAAAGTGCGCAAGCCTGTCCACACTCTAAATCCTAAACCCTGAACTCCGAACCCTAACTCCTAAGCCCTAAATCCTAAACCATCAAGCATAGACCCTAAATCCTAAACCCAAACCCTTTTTGAACCCAGTCTATGCACCCTATACCCTGAACCCTCAGTCCTGAACCCCAAGACCTAAATCCTAAACCCAAAACCCTTTTTTGAACCCACTCTCTGCACCCTAAACCCTAAATTCTAAGGCTTGAATCCCACACACTAGATCCTAAACCCTAAGCCCTGAACTCCTAAACCCTAGACCCTGAACCCTAAACTCTATAAATCCTAAATAAATCCTAAACCCTAAACCCCAAACCCTAAACCCTAAATCCTAAACCCTAAACCCTAAATCCTCACCCCTAAACAGCCTCCCCAAGGATCCTGGGACCCGGATCTCCGCGTCCGTGAAGGCGCTACGGAGCACCGCTAGCCGTAGCAGAACCTTCGGACCCAGACCCCTGGGAGGATCTANNGATCTAGAAAGTAGAACCCCCATTAGGGTACCCTATACTACTATTGGGTAATTGCTAGGAACCCTTAAGGGGGATCTACTTTCTAGATCCTCCCAGGGGTCTGGGGAGATGGAGGTCACAGGCTTTAGGAGTTAGGGTTTAGGAATTAAAGGTTTAGGGGTCAAGGGTTTAGGAGTTAGGGTTGAGGGTTTAGGGAGTTTGGGTTTAGGAACTCGGGTTTAAGGACCAAGGGTTTAGGAGCTGAGGGTTTAGGAGCTTAGGGTTTAGGGTTCAGAGATGGAGGTCATGGGCTTTAGGTTGATTTTTCCGCACCTTGGGTTATGTAAGGGATAATGTAAGGGACTACCATATGGGGGTTATTTAGGGGGATACGAGGAGTTTAGGCAATGGCTCATATGAGCTTGGCTTTTCTCCTTGATAGGTTAGGTCATTCCCCATTGCGCAGAAACATTTACCACAAAATTGAAAGCCCCTTAACACAGCCTCTGCAAGGGTGGTTACCGGGAGGGGAAGTGTCCCAAGCAACCCAAGAATTCTAAGCCCTAGATACCTTTTTGGCGAGGGGACTCCAGAGAACGCCCTGACCCCTGCCTGCCCTTCACTTCAACAAGTCTAGCTGCAGCACCACATGTGGACACACAGGCACTCACGCAACAGACGCTAAACCCCAAACCCTTGTCCCCTAACCCTAAACCCTACACCCTTTTCCCCCTAAACCCCCCCCCTTAACCCTCACCCTAAACCCTTTTCCCCTAAACCCTAAACCCCCAAAATCTACAAATCGCTGTCATCCGTGAGAATGGAAGATCTGCCCAACATCCCCCCAAAATACTAATAAGGGTGGTTATAGGGGTTATTAATTAACCTACTTATGACACTCCAAGCACCCCCTTAAGGCATTCTCCCTAAATCTAAGCATCCTACATCCCATCCCTAGGTAGTGTACTAGCTTCAATTTACTTCTCGTTAACTGCATGAATAATCTATGGGTATATGTATGTATATGTATATATGTACGTACGCCCTTATAACCAAAGAAGCCCTAGAGCCTAAATCCTACGGGTTCTTGCTCAGCCTTCTCTCGGCAATCGATCGCGCGTAACACGCGCTGGACCTTAAGCAACCCCTCCACATGTTGGCGCCTATCGTGGAAATGATGGCTTTGGAGTTCTTGCTAGCAGTAGTAGGAGTGATACTACACCAAACAGCCTAGATGACAACAACTTTTCTTGTCAGTCACAACAAACGAGATGATCATCCTCATGATTGCAGTGCATATCGCTGTCCATTTGTGCAAGTATCTCGCGCTGACACTTAGCGCTTACTATGCCGTGCGAACCTAGCGTCTGCACACATGTCTCCGCGTAGTGTCCTTGCAGAACCATGTCCTGATGACAGGCACCCCTAGAAGAAGCCCATCCGCACCACAAAGTCCACCCACCCACCCATCCACCCACCCTTCCTTCCGATAGTAAGGTCCATGCTGGTGCCACGCCCTTCACAAGCGCCCGCACCTGCTTCAGACAGAAACTTGCAAGCTACTGCTGGACTCGCTCTGCACGTCACTTCTGCCAATGTCCTTATCATATGCAAGAATTAAATGACAAAACACAGCAAGAAGGAAGCCAGGTATGGCTCCTAAAATATCACAAAAGCCCTGGTTTCAAGCGAAGCTGGGAGGAAGGGAACGTCTTTGCCTGGCCAGCATGATGTCATAACTCAATGGCAGTAAAGAGAAGCGATCTCTTACCACTCCCTAAGGACACTCTCAAACTCATAGGGATCCCCGCAGAGGAAGCAAGCTTGTGACACCTGCTCTTGCATTCCTTCAAGGCTTCGGCCGGAAGGAAACAATGTCTCCTTCCTTCTCAATGTGCAGCGCTTCGCTCATTAGCTCTGAAATTCGCCGGCTTTGACCACCAAAGGCCATGAGCCAAGTTCCATATGGGGAACCAGTCTTCCATTTCCCGTGGTTTTCGACAAGAAGGTGATCCACAAGGGCTTTTCCAGCCTCGCCTAACACGACCAGACTTTGGCTTGCTGCAGCGACGGCCAGGTGCAGAAACGCCGTAACACGATCATCAGTCTCCTGGCCAATGGCTAAGGCAGCCTCCATGTTGATAAGCAAAGGCGCTTGCGCAATTTCCTCTAGAACCTGAAGCCGCTGTGACTGGCTCAGGAGCTGGGTGGCTGGCAGCAATGCCTCCACCGAACCTCCCAGCAATGCGGCAGTCAACAGTCGGTGTCGGAGGTCGCCAGTCTCGACCTCCTGTCCTTGCCCTTCCTCTGCGAGCAGATAAAACAATCGTGGCTCAGCTGATTCAGGGACCTCTAAGGGCTTGTGCAGGTCTACGCCAAGTTCTCCCTGAAGGATGCTTAGATCTGTTGCAGGCAGCTTTCGGTGCTCCTCCAAAAGCTCGGCCACTGTCTTGAAAGTTTGCCCAAGCTTCCCGAGCACATCCAGCTGCCAGTCATTGCAATCTGAGTAGCCGAGGGCAATCTCAGCTTTCAGCAGGGAATGTGCTGCCTTGGCATTCTTGTCGTCTATGAGTAGCGCATTGGCCGCCTGCTCCACAGCTGCATGCGGCTTCGCCAAGCGCGAGCAGCACAAAGAGGCATTTGAGAACAGCGTCGAATCGCCACAGGGGCAATGCCACTGCCCAAGCCTGTAGAAAGCCAGTGCTTGGCCGAAGTCCTGGGCTTGAAATAATGCTCGGGCTCTGCCTTTGCACAAGCGTGCTACCCTCAAACTGAGGAGGCAATCCTGCAGAGCCCGACTTGTGAGAAGAATGGCAGCAGAGAAGGCCACGCTTTTGTCATGTGGCACCACAAAATTGGGTGGTATAGGGTAAGCTTCAATTGCCGTGTGGACCTGAACCAGGGGAGGCTCCTCTGGCTCCTGCTGCTCCGGTTCAGGCATTTCAGGCACCTGCTTTTTGGCCAAGGCCTCGATGCATGCCCAGTTGCTGCAGATCTTCCTGACGACCAAAACCCCAGCCTCCGTGAGGTTCACTGATGCAAAGAAAGCTTTTTGTTCCTCTGGCAGCTCGCGATATAGCCCGGCGATCTGAGCCCGTCCCTCCACTTCAGCTTGCGAAATGAGACACATACTCATGAACTCCTGCACCAGGTGAAGTAGCTTCGACCTGGGCAGTGGCAGCTGCAGGAAGCGCTGAAGGATGTCTGCCTTTGGCACACGCAAGGCTCCTTGTTTGGAGATCTCCTCGAGGGCTTTCTTGTTAGGCTTCTGCTGCGACACGGCCCAGCGCCAGAGTCCGACAACGGGTGCCTGTTGTACTGCCTCCGCAATCCCCGTGACGTCTAGCAACCGACATCCACGCGCAGAGGGCCAATGCTCGGGATGCAGGAGGGCAGGAGGAGGGCGAGCATCCTCACGTGGGAAGCCGGCAAACTCTTGCTGCAGCAGTGCCGTATCAACATCCTCGCGCAAACCCCGGCCACCGGCGCGACTGGCAGCCACACTCTGCCAGTCAAGGGCAAACCAGAGCTTGGGAAGCGCGGCATGGGGAATGCACATGGTTTTGAATCAGTCTCAGGCGTATCAGTGAATGGTCATAGTGGATCTCAAACGCTAGCACATGAAGCTTTGCAAGGAGCACCTCGGACTTACCACAATGCTTGATGGATTAAGCTTGTCCTTTGCAATAGAAGTGGCAAATTGCGTGTTGATACCCTCAGGTAGCATAACTTGAGAAACACATGGCAACATCTTGCGAAAACAATACTGCCCAGGTTGCCGTATGATTCTTTCAACACGGCGGTCAGCACAGGAGCGACCACTATCCTGCCTGACTACCAAGACCCTCCTAGCACATGCCCCTGATTGGGGTTAATAGAGCCCCGAACAGTGGGCACCTAGGCCCTGACAGAGGAAAGTTGGAGGGTCAAGGTGCTAAGAAAAATCCAAGGGCCCCGAAGCAAAACACCTTTGTCCTGCATTTCGACAACGCCCACAGCCCTATGTGCGCTGTTGCGAAAGCTTCAGCAACTGGCCGATGCCTCCTGCCTTGCGAGCATATAGCCTAAGGGTCCAAGTGTCCGAACAGAGCATAAGCTTGGCCCAAAATGTTCACATCGCCATATTTTGGGGCCCTTCGCATACAAGATTTTGCTACTTGGACCCTTGCAGATATTGCATGAACACGCTGTGGCACGCAGAAAATGTGCATCAACGGCTCGCTCCCTACTATCCAATACTCCCGATATCATACCATCATATATTGTAATCCAGAATTTTCATTTTTGAGGCTGTCCAGGGGGGGGAGGGGGTGTATTCTTGTAGGCGATTACATTGACCGACTCTCAGGTGTGGAGCCAAGGTACATCGACAGGTCAAACCGGAAGACCAATCCCTAAAATCCCTCATGGTTTAGATATCCCGCCCAAGAACAGACATACTGTGAGTTTGTGCGCCCTCAGCCAAAAATATTTCGATATATCCCAACCCCAGAAAACCAGAAAGCTTCACACCCGAAAACTCGAGTTCCCTGCCCCCTAAACCCTAAACCCTTGCCCCCTGCCTTGCCTCCTTAGATAAAATGTCCTGGCCATATCCACCAGCACCATAGCGCTTGAGATAGAGCTGCCTTGCCGGAAGGTCGTTTAGTCCCCCTTAAGTAGATAGAACATGGTGGGTGGTTATATTGGGATAATGGAAAAGAAAATGGAAACTACTATTTAGGGTTCAGGGTGAATACTGCCCTTAAGTAGATAGAATATAGGTTTTATAGGGTTTGTATAGGGATAATGGAAAAGAAAATGGAAACTACTACATTACAATGAGGTATGTATTGGGGGTATAATGCCCCCTTAGGTAGATAGAATATGGGATATATAGGGGTCCTATTATACTATACCCAAAGCCATGTTCTGTCTACTTGAGGGGGACTATGAGCCCTAAACTCTAAATAGTAGTTTCCGTTCTCTTTTCCATTATCCCTATATAACCCTAATTTTCTATCGAAAGGGGGACTATATCATGGCGTCTCGGCTTTGCAGGTCTTTACAGGGCTTAAGGTTTTGGCTTCCCCAACTCCTACCATCTGATCAGCAGTCATCCCTTTGATACGCGTACAAGTACAAATCTAAATAGACATGCTTAAGGGTTTAGGGCTTAGGGTTTAGGGCTATATGTTACACATTGCTCAAGCAGAAGACTTCCACAAACTGGAGTGGTTCCATGTTCGAATGATTTTCTACATAAGCTAGCAAGTTGGGGTGAGGTGGGGCTCAGGCCCTGAGCCCTAAGCAACCTTAACCCAAGCCCAGAGCCCGAATCCCTAAACCCTACACCTAAGCCCTAAGCCCTCAACCCTGAACTCTAAACCCCCAGCCCTAAACCCTGTAGTGCCCAGAAAGCCCCCAAAGGATGCTTCGGGGAGTGGCACATACTACAGGGGCCTAACTAATTACAGGGGTTATATAACGGTTAAATGGGGATTATAGGGGTATACTATTGAGGTTATATGAGGATAATGGAAAAGAAAATGGAAAATACTATAATACAGGGGGCCACAAATAATTACCAAATATGATGTTGAGGTCCTTTTGAGGTAACATATACTATATGTATACAAGGAATATGGAACCATAATTTTGGTAATTATTACTTAGGCCCCTATATGATTTAAACTGATCACAAACTGCTGTCCTCGTCAAACACCATACGGTTTCGGATTTAGGGTCCATGAGGTTTAGGGCTTACAGTCCGTGGGATTGAGGGTTTAGGGCCCATGGGATTTAGGGTTTAGGGCTCGATGGCCGAAGGGTTTAGGGTTTAGGGTTTATGGGGTTATGGGGTTTTGGGTTTAGGGACAGGAAGGGGCCACCAGCCATCATTTTAAGAAACAACTATGTGGATTGGGAGGTTTGGCTCACAGCCCCCCAATGTCTGCTTTCAGACTCGGGGGATGTAGGGGTTTAGGGTTTAGGGGCTCAAGGGTTGCACCGGAGTTAGAAGGGGTTACATGATTCATAGCCTAAACTCCGAGTATCCCCCTTAATATTGCCTATAATACTCCCCGATAGAACCCCCTGCATGGAGTTTAGACTCTAACTCATGTGAGCCATAGTCTAAACTCCTAGTATCCCCCTTAATAACCCCTATAATACTCCCCCATATACTCCCCTATATAACCCCCTTTAAGGAGTTTCGACTATAGTTCATGTAGGGCTACAGAGGGAACATATAGGCTAACGGAGGGGCCAAAGCTGGCTGATGGATAACACCACACCAATGGAGAATCAAATGGAAAAGAAAAGAGAACATGAAATGGAGACTGAGAATCTACACTCCCCTTAAGTAGATGGAATATGGCTTTGTGTCTATCTTAAAAAAAATCCCCATATGAGCGGGCGGCTAAATTCAAAGGCTCCAAAGCGG